GGCCTGCCGTATGTGAGGTCCACCCTGGCCTCCCTGCCTGCTCACCCGTCCTGCTTATGTGAGGTCCGCCCTGGCCTCCCTGCCTGCTCACCAGGAGCTGCTGGAGCAGACGTTCGATGATGCTCAGCAGGATGTCCCAGGTCACAGCCTGCAGCTCCTTCCTGTACTTCTTGATGAGTCTGGTGATGGAGAGGACGATTTCATACGACACCACTTCATTGGGACAGGTCATGGCCTGGAACACAAGCCCCAAGAGCACACAGGGGTCGGCCACTGCACACTTGCCCCCAGGCAGCCCTCCACAAGTCACCCTGGGGTCCAAAAGGGTGCTCTCAGCACGCACATTTCACGGCTCACAGAGGTGTTGGACGAGCCCACAGAGGGGTTTTCTATGCTACTCTAGTTCAGTCAGGATCCAGAAAGGGCCCGAAGCCTGCCTGACCCACAGGGCCTGACTCAGCCGCGCCATCACCTCCAACACCCTGGCCGCAGTACCCCGGCACAGCGGAACCCAAAGTTCTGGCCTAAATTCCAAGACAAGCAATGCACTGAGACCACGCCCTCCACCACCCCAGGGAGTGCGAGCCCGGCAGAAAGAACGGCAGTCAGGAGGGCCTGGGTTCCCCCATGAGACAACATGTCCCAGCAGCTCCCCTCACTGTAAAACGCTCATGGGAAGACCTTCCTGGTCATAAGGCACCACCAGAATTAAGTGAGGACGCTGGAAGGCGCTCTGAGAGCTGTGGAACACCAGGGAGCCGGAGCTTATTGCCAGCACCAAGGGAGACAGTGAGATGATCACTTCCCTGGAGGAATCCGGAGCATTCTAATGCTAATTTACAGGAAATGAAAATATGATGTTTGCTTGAAAATAAAGCCTCCAACAGCACTAAACCTCACGCCCAGTGGAGAACCGAGGGCCTGGACACGCCACCTCGGCCCCTGAAGCAGAGCCCGCCTGATGGGCCTGCTCCGGGCACATGGGCCAAAGACGGTGAGCTCTGCCATTCTCGCCAGCACTGCATCACAGAAACCGTGTTACCTCGTAAAACGATGGCAGCACAGATGTTGGGGAGTTCTTGAGGGAGTAGAGACGGTGGGCCCCCCAGAGCGCCATGCCGACAAAGAACACGGCTCCTCTCAGCAGTGGGGCGTCCTCCATGTAGGCTCTGAAAGCGTCCCAGGCAAGACAGGAAGTGAGCAGCGTGAGGGGGTGCTGAGAGGCACGAGGGAGGCCCAGGCTCTGACAGCTCCCCTGGTGTCCCCGCACTTCTTGAGCCAAAAGTGGAGCTGGGCACGGGCTGGGCAGGGAAAAGGAAGGCCCACAACACAAGAGGCAACTAGGTGAGTCGTCTGTTCACTCAACACCTGATGCTCGTGGGCCACATCCTGTGCCGTGGGCCACAGGAGACACTCTCCAAGGCAGACAAGAGAGAAGGGCCCTGGCCTCAAGAAGCTTATGGTCCAGACCAAGTCAAAGGATAGCATCAGTAAACATAGAACATCTACCTCAAATTACAGATAAACTCTACCAGATGTTCAGAAGACATTTAATGGCAATTCTACTCAATCCTAGAACACAGAAAGGGAAAGAATGTTCCCAAATTCCTTCTATGAAGCCAGCATAACTCTGATGCCAAAGCCAGACAAAGACACCACAAAAAAAAAAAACAAAACTACAGACCAATATTCTTTGTGAAAACAGACGCAAAAACTCTCAACAAAATTCTAACCAACAGAATTCAACAGCGTATCAAATTACTGGTAAGTCCCACATACAAACGTTTCTGGCAGCTCCAAAAACTGTAAGCAACCAAGACGGCCTTGGTTAGGTGAAAGTTTACACTCCTGTGGTCCACCCGCACAACAGAGGATCATTCAGTGATAACAAGTGAGCCATCAAGCCACCAAAAGACACGAAGGAACTTTAGATGCACACTACCAGGTGAAAGAAGCAGTCTGAAAGGCTACACACTGTATGGTTCCAGCTATAGAACATTCTGGAAAAGGCCAAACTACAGAGACAGTGAAAAGATCAGTGGTTGCCGGGGGGAAGGGGAAGGGAAGAACAGGTGCACACGGGGCATCTTTAGGGCAGTGAAACTATTCTGCGTCATACCGTAACGGGAGACACGTGACATTACATACTCGTCATGACCCACAGGGCCGCACAACACACAATGAACTCTGCCCTGCACTACAGACGTAAGAAGCAACGTACAGATACTGGCTCGTCGGCTGTAGCCCATGTACCACACCAACACACCAGCACCGTGTGTGTCAGAGCAGGCCTGTGCTCCACAGGGTTTTCCCACGGCTGGTTTTTCAGAACTAGATCCCCAGGCCTTTCTTCCAAGGTGCCCCTGGATAGACTCGGTCAGTAGCCGAGCACATTAACCATTTGCACCACCCAGGAGAAACTGCAGAGGAGGAAAGGGCACAGGGGAGGGAACTCATTATACTTCTCGCTCCATTTTTCTGTACTCTAAAACTGCTCTACAAAATCAAAGTCTATCAATTTTCAAAAAAATTTAAGAATAAATTCACAAAAATTTCCTAACAAAAACTGTTTGCCACCAGCAAAACAAACCAAACGTCTGAAGAATACAGCAACAATCACGATGACGTGTGAGCTCAGAAAAACAGTGAAATTAAGACAACACGACAGCGGACGACACACGTGTTCGTCAACGGCTGAACGGGCGAACAAGACGCAATCCGTCCATACGACGGGACGTCACTCAGCCACAAAGTGGAACGAAGTCCTCGCACGTGCTGTGACACGGATGAACCTTTAACAAACGACGCTGAGTGAAATGAGCCAGACACAAAGGACCAGGCGTTGTAGGATTCCGCTCACACGAATCGTCCAGAACGGGCAAATTCATGGAGACAGAAAGCAGATTAGTGGCTGCCTGGAGCTGGGGGGATAGGGGAAATGGGGACTGACTGCTAAAGGGTCCGGGGTTTCTTCAGAGGTGACGAAATGTTTGAAAACTGACTGGAGACAGCTGCACACTCTGTGAACATACTAACAGCCACTGAGCTACACACTTTAAATTGGTAAAGTGTACGGTATGTGGATTTTATCTCAACAGAGCTATTATAAAACAAAAAGAAATGACTCACGGCCGAGAAGAAGAGCCTCGGGATCCCAGAGCAAACCCCCTGGAGGTCAGGGAATGGCTGACCGTGCTGAGATGTCATGGCGCACGCAGGCAGGAGTAACTTGGCACAGGTCGGGGGGAGGAACTTTCCAGCAAGAGGAAACGTGTGCCAAGGGATGAGGGGACTGAGGGGAGGGAGGAGACCCGGGGAAGCGCTAACAAGGCCAGGACAGACCACCGGCGCTTCGTTCCATAGCGGGGAGTCTGGTTTTTATCCTGGGGCGCTGGGAGTCGCTGTGCTTTTAAGCAAAGGACGACACAGTTGGCTTGTGCTTCAGCAAAGTGGCTCGGCTGCCACCTGGACTAACTGACTTCGGGAGGGCAGGAGGGGGCGCAGGAGACCGACGAGACAAAGCGCGTGGGTGCAGAGCCGGGAGTGGGCACATCTGAGCAGCCCCTCGGGCAGACCAATGGGACTGGTGATGGTTTGGCTGTGCGGGGTAAGGATGACGGATGTTGAGCCTAAAGCCCGAGTCTGGCCTACGTCACAGAACAAGGGCTGAGGCAGTCCAGTGTCGGGGTTCCAGTCTGACCGACAAGCAGCGAACAGGAGAGGAGATGACGAGCAACAGACATACTCTCGCTCTAGTCAGAGCTTCCGGAACAGCCCCCAGGAGGAACAGGAAATCCCCAGGGGAGTACACGTGAAGGAGGGGCCAACACACGCACACCTCCTCTGGGGGCCCACCCACACTCACCTGTCCTCCAGGATGCGGCACATGTTGTAAATGGCGCTGTGGCCCAGGTGGGTTCCCAGGAGGTTACGCATCAGCTGGAACACAGAATGCACCACGACTGAGGTTCGGCAGATACACACCCCAAGGCCCCAAGCTCCCAGCCCCTCTGCCAGCCTCACGCGCCACTGACTCTAGCTGCCAGGCTGCTGCCAAACAGAGAGGCAGCAGAGCCCCTAAGCGCCGCCAAAACCCTGACCTCAGCTCAACCTCCTGGGAAAATGCCACCAGCTTCCCTTCAACAGGCCACTGTCTGGCCATCCTGAGAATCAGATGGCCACTCGCTGCAGACGAGACAGCCCCTGTCCTGTGCGTGCGCCAGGCCTGTAACCTCCTCCCGGGGAAGAACCTCCCAGGACGACGGCTTCGCAAAGGCCCACCTTCCAGCAAGGCTCGCACAGCTCCTTGACGTTGACCGTGCGGCACAGGGTGACGATGAACAGCGGCAGGCTCTCGGCGGGCAGGCAGTTGTAGCAGACCACGGCGTCCAGCACCTGCAGGGAGACCTGGGCGCGACGAGAGGTCAACGCTGCTGCCCACGGGGAGGCAGCACCCCAGGCCTCCTGCCCACCTCCTTTGGTCTGTGGCTGTCACTTGTCCCCACTGCCACAGCAGCCTCCCTTGGAACCTTGAGGGCGAGCACCTGAGGGTCACTGACTATACCCCGGGCCCTGTGGGCAGCAAACACTCTGTTATGCATCTTCTTTTTTTTTTTTTTTAAATTGTGGTAAAAGTACAACAAAACATCAGCCAACTCGATGCTTTCTACCTGTATAATTCAGCGACGTTAATTACTATATTCACCGGGCCGTACAACCATCAAAAATATATTTTTCTAAATTTTTCCATCAACCTGAACAAGAACTCGGTGGCCCCTAAACGTCACTGCCTCTCGAACAGGACCCCACGATAGAGACTACCCTACGGTCCTTATGTCCACGTGAGGCTCCTGAGGCGCGGAGAGGACAAGCAACTGGCCCAGGTCACGTGCCACTTTGTGTCTGGGCAGGGCCTGGCCTCAGAACCCCAGTTCTCAACTGTCACAGGACCAGCCTCCCCAGAATGAGGGTGAAAGGAACCACCCCCTGGAGAGGTAGCTACTGACCTCTATGTCCATGGGGGACGCCGTCCGGATGCACAGCAGACAGATCATGCTGTGGGAGGAAATGCCAAGGTGAGCCCAGAGGGCACGCCCGGGAGGCGGGGTTACCCCGTCTTCCTTTTGGTTATCCAATAAAGTCTACTACATGAGGGACTTGTCCTTCCTTAAGGTCCCCTCACCCAGCAAGTATCTGGGTGCTGACTCTGCGGTGCCAGCCCGTTCTCAGTGCTGGGGTTCAGGATGAACGAGACAGAACCCTGGCCTTCGTGGATTTCACGAAATTTTTTTGTTTTTAAGTAACAACAATGGCAACAACAAAAAGAACAAATAATATAAATCTCTCTTAAAAATGGAAAAGACACCAGGTCAAGCCTCAAAGCATCAACTTAAATAATGGTGGCTACCTCCACTTCCAACCTGCCCACTTATCTGATGGTTCAACAACTCTATGACACGTGCAGAGCGGAGCCGAGGACCCAAGACAGCGGGACAGACTACCATCAGTGCCACCGCGCTGAAGTCTGTATCTTACTGAACCATGGGCGTGATGTATTCATCAAGGTAACAGCTGTTGAACTTGACCAGGTTCACAAGCACCAGCAGGAATTCCGAGGATAAGCCGACGTCCATCCACTGCAGGACAAACTCAGCTGCGAGAGGAGGAGCGGAGAGCGGTTGGCACGGCAGCGGGACCTGCCCTCATCCTCACCTCCTGGCTCAAGAAAAAGGGGGCTGGGCTGGGGGGCCGCACGGAGGGGACCCTGAGCTTGGATGGCAGCAGTGCTGTGTGCTCTACATGAGAGCCCTGACCCCGACATAGGTGGGCATGTCGGTCACCTGGGGTGCATGTCTAGAAAGCAGATTCCTGGGCCCCAACACCGAGAGTTTCTAGAATGAGATGCAAGCGCACACTCGGCTGCCCGCCAACGGCCTTGGGCAGGACACCTGAGAACGCTCCCTGCTTGGACCTGCCCGAGGCAAACCAAGCCAGGGGCCATTTCTGGGCAACAGAGCAGCAAAGCCCAGAACAGACTGACTTCTTTCTCCTTCCTCGTCTCCCCAAGACGGCGTTACATCTCAGAACTAACCGAGACCTGACACCGTCAGCATGACAGGGAGGAAGGTAAGCAGAGGTGGATTGGGAAGTGGAAGAACGGCAGTGAAAACAAGCACAGGGCAAGGAAGGGGTGAGGAACACACATCCTGGGGGCCCTCTGAGTGGACGCCTGCCCTTGACAACCAGGTCGGCAGCCCCTGCTCCGGACCATGGCCCTCAGCCCTCCCGCCTGCTTACAATGCACATTTCTAGGTGCCCTCCCCAGGGACCCTGAGCCCATGCAGCTGGAGCAAGGCACAGGTGTCTGCATTTTTAACAAGCCCCCAGGAGATTTGGTTCCCGTTCCAGCCAGGCCCAGGTGCACTCTGCAGTCACGCTGTGAATGGCAGCGCCCCACCTGGCACCCAGCATCCTTCCCAGGTGGCATCCCTGATTAAATGAGATCACCGCAGTCAGGGAAACCTCACACCCAGCCGTGGCACTCACCCAGCTCTTCTTCCAAGTAGGTTATGTGTCTCCCGTTGTCTGTGAGGGCCTTGAACACCTCCAGCCTTTCATGCAGGTCTTCATTCGAGGGGTAATCCTTTATGACCTTGAAGAAGAGGGCACGGAGCACGCCCAGGCGGTCCCCCTGAAGATAAAACCGCAGGGTCAGCAGAGCCCTGCCAGGACCCCACAGCCCCTAGGTGTCCCGTGCGGCTGCTAAGAAGTACAAGGTGTGCCGTGTGTGCCAAGACTCTGACTCAGGCCCTCCTGCTACGCACGGGACTTGCTGTGGGGGAGGAGTTGGAACGGGGGGGGGGGCACGAGCCCAGGACCCGCTGCATTGGTTAGCGGTCAGCAGACATGTGTATGGCACCAATGGTGTGTCTGGCTCAAAGTACGGTGGTGGGCTCACGGCAGCAGATAGTGCGGTGCCTGCCCTCCCAGAGCCCACATTCAGAGAGAGACACATATTGTTCAAATAATGCCGATGAGGTCTAACTGAGGCGAAGCCCCAGGGCAGGTGCGGGGAAAGGGGACAGGCCTCAGGAGGTGGCTGAGACAGGAAGAAGGAGAAAAAATTAGCCAAGTGGGGAGGGAGGCTCCCAGGCAGGCAGGTGAGAGGGAATGGCAGCGACTGGTATGGGGGGAGCATGGGGAGCACGGGGGACGAGGCAGCGGGAGTCAGGTCATCACGATGGCTTACCAAGCCAATCGCTGTCCTAGTGGTTTTGTGTGAACTGCCTCTTTTAATCCTCAAAACATCCCAGAGACAGAAGATATGACTGTCATCCCCATCTTCCAGGTGAGGACTTGCCCAGGGCCCCACAGATGCCCAGTGAGGTGGTCCAGCTCAGGAGCCCCTGTAACCCCTCGGCCCCATCCCTCAGACAAGCCTCCTCTAACTCTTCAGCCCCATCCTCGGCCAAGCCCCATGTAACATTTTGGCCCAGTCCCTCGGCCCTCGCCAAAGATCAGAGCCCATGTGCAGCACAGCAGGAGCAGTCAGCAGGCAGCCCATCCCGACCTGGGCCCCGCACGCCTGCCCCTTACCTGGCCCTGCACGATGGCCTTGAGCAGGGCCAGCACTGCATGTCGGGCTTCCGGCGGCCGGTCCGGCTGCAACAAGTCCGCGACGGCCTTCCAGAGTGCTTCCACGGCATGCTGTCACCAGCAGAGAGGGGACAGGGATTAGAGAGACAGGCAGTCAGCAAAGGACGGAGCACAACAACAGGGCCTTCTGACTCAGAATTCACTCCTCTAAAGCCCACGACATGCAAGTCTCCTGCGGCCGTTACCACCGAGGCCTGATGAGAGGAACAGCTCCAAGCAGGCCCGTGAATCCTGACCAGAGCACAGACTAGGGGAGGACGGTGCCAGGGGAGCTGCCTCCCGGCTTCCCCCAGAGACAGGCAGGGAGTCCCCACTGAGAGCTCGCTCAGCCCCTGGTGCGGAAAGGCACTGTGCAGCAGCTCAGAACCAGAAGAGCCGCAGTGGTCGCTGGCCTGCAGCCTGACCCAGAAACCCCGTCTAGTGGCTTGGCTTTGACACACCAGTCACAGGCCAAATGGCACCACATACCTGCTCCGCCTCTACCTGCTAAGGAAGAACTCCGTGGGTGAGTCTGGGATCTGCCCCCTCCCGGCTCATGCCCACCAGCCCATGGGGGAGCCCTGTCCTGCTCCCTAAAGCCACCCAGGATCAGTCTCGTCCTGCAAGCACTGACACTCCCACTAGTGTCACCTTCCCTTCTCCACGTCGACCACCCCCACTTCCTCCGACCAAGGTTCTTGGACCACTTGCCTTTTCCTGGGTTCACTCCTCTAGAACTAAGGTGGCCATGGCTCTCTGGGTGTGTCTGACCAGCTCAGGATACACTGGAGCCCTCACCTCCCTCGTCCTGCTCACAGGACCCCTAGCAGTGCTCCCTCAGCCTACAGTGGCTTTCTGCAGCCGCGACACACAGACACGGCGCCTGAGGACAACGCCTGCCTCGTAGACCTGCTCGGCATTTTCACAGGACGGGAGCCAGGCCATAGCGCCCCTTTTAAGCACCTGCACAGATAACTTTCTGAAAGGAAATGCTCATTTTTTACATTTATCCTTGGTGAGGCGCAGCCTGCCTGTCTCATTTGAACTGCTAAAAGACAGGGGTTGCTCTTGCCCTTAGCTTTGTGCCACCTGAACCTGCTAAGTGAGACGTCCACGCCTCTTCCCGAGTCTCACAGAAACGCTGCGCAGGCTCAGGCAGAGCCCCGAGGCGCTCTGATAGCAGCTCTCAAAAACCAGCTGCCATCGAGTCGGCACCTCATGGGTGTCAGAGTAGAACTGTGCTCCACTGGGTTTTTAATGGCTCGTTTTCCAGAAATAGATCATTAAGCCTTTCTTCCAAGGTGCCTCTGGGTGGACTGCGACCACCCACCTTTCTATGAGCAGCCAAGCACGTTAACTGTTCACACCACCCAGGGACTGCCCAGCACCTACTGCCCTCCCAAAAGGACAACTTCACACTTCTGTCCGCTGGACATCAGGGCAGTGTGGCAAGAAACACGGATATGTCTGTAAGACTGCTCGATACCACCAACCAGTAACCGCTCCCCAAAACGCAACGAGGCTGGTGTGCCCTGAGTCATTCTCTCTGAAACCAAGCTCTCTCCCCGTGCTCCCTTATTTTCCCTCCCCTCCAATTTATGGTATCGGAGAGCAAGTAAGTGCCCTTTTTTGTAAGCCCCTACAAGTCCTTCCTGGGATCTGCTAGAAAATCCCAAATCCCTTTGCTCTCGGCCCCCACAAATGATTAGTAGTACTAAAGACCTCTCCAGCTTTCCCATCGCTAAGACGAAAGCTGAATTTCCCGAAAACAGTGCAAATCAATCTGCTACACAGTTAACAATGTCAACCATGCTCCTAGACAAAGCAACCTCAGGCTTTTAAACAGCCTTCGTGCATTCTCTCAGCGGCCCAACTGGGACAAACGTACCTCCTCGAATTTCTTAGTTTTCGCTACTTCACAGATCTGCCCTATGACCCGGATGCGATTGTTCAGACCACACTCAACGCTCAGCTCCTAGACAAGGATGAGAGAAGAAAAGGAGTTTGTGCTCAGGCAACAGATCTCCTTAACTGCTTAACAAAAACCACCCTAAAAACCGCACGGTATTTTCCAAGACTGGAGACTCTCAGCAGATCTTTCTGAAGTCACGAGTCACCAAAGAGCTTACTACTCCACCTCAGCGGAGTGAGAATGCGCAATTTTTTTTTTAAGTATTTTATTGCATTTAAGGTGAAAGTCTATGTAACAAATTAGACTCCCACATAACAATTTCTACACAAACTATTCAGAGACGTTGGTTACGTTTTTCACAATGTGTCATCATTCTCGCTTGTTCTGTGCTGGTTGTTCCGCTTCCAGTACTCTAGTTTTCCTGCCCCCTTACCTTCTCGTCTTTGCTTTAATTATTGACCATTCAGTCTCACGTAGATGATACCTTAAAGGCGCTCATTCCTCACAGGTGAGATTCTTTATGAGCGAATCTGTTCTTCAACTAAAAAGTGACCTCAAGAGGTAATTTTAGTTTAAGATGCAAATTTTTCTGAGATAATTTGCGTGAAGGCTCACTGTGTTAATCGTTTAAAGCATACAACTCAATGGCATTTAGCATATTCACAGAGTTCTGCACCCGTCACCGCCATCTACTTCCAGAGTATTCTCATCACCCCAAAAAGAAACCTCTTGCCCATTAAGCAGTCATTCCCCATACCGCCTCTCCCTGGCACTTGGCAACCATTCATCTACCCTGCTGCTATGGGTTTGTCTACCGCAGATGTTGCACAGAAGTGGAACAGTGCAATCTGTGACCTTTTGTGTCCACCTCCTTTCACTCCAGCATCACGTTCTCAAAGTTTATACATGTTGTAGCACGCGTGAAGACTTCATTTTTCTTCATGGGTGGATAATATTCCATTGCATCTATGTACCACACTTGGTATATCCATTCACCAGTTGATGAGCATTTGGGAACGGAAAACTTCAGAAGTGTAAAAATTCAATACATATTTACCGGCAAACCATGGTGACAAGTATATGAGAGAGGTGCCAAACACAAAACAGATAAGGACCTGCTTAACCGCCCGTGCAAACAATAGCATTCGGGCCTCGTCCACTCAAACGGGTATTCTTATGTCAACACCTGAATACTGATCGAGCATTCTGGACCAAGTCGCCAAGATCCTGGCTTTCTTCAGTCTCCAAACGAAGGGCGTTTAAGTGTCCACCGTGATGAGGACCACAGCCCTGTGCAGACGGCCACCAGGTACCCACCTCCCACAGTACCTGATGACAGACCGAACTCAGCCTTGCGGGCACCTGCCACTAGGCTAACAAAGAAGACACATGCGGTAAACTCACTCTCAGGATTTCCGCTGTGATGATAAACTCTGTCTGTCTGCCCTCTGCAGACCTGGTATGTGGCCTTGGTGTTCCCAGGCCCAGCAGAATCTTGAACTTCTCCTTCAAGCCTGAATCTTTGCTTGTGGGCTTGGCCATGGTGGGCAGGGAAGCGCCGGGGGGCTCCTCTGTGCAGGAAAACAGGCGGAGATGTGAGGACCGCCTGGCCACCCGCCCCACTGAGCCCAGTCCCCAGAACTGCAGATCTCAGGTGGGAATGACCCACCCTCTCGCGGGCCCTGGGGAGAACCAACCACGGCCAAATATTAGCTTGTGCATGAGGTTAGGGAGGGGAGTGAGGGCGGAGGCGGCCGCCGCGGGGTCCAGGGAGCCCTGACGTTTGTCGTCTCCCTAACCCCCAGGTGGAGGAGGAGCTGTTAAGGGCACGCCTGCAGCGGGGACCCCCTCGCACCCGCCATGACTTAAAACTAAAGAGCGCCTGGAGCTCCGAGGTCCGGCGGAGGTGGGCACGGCGCCGAATACGGCGGGGTCCGCCTCCCCGGGCCGCTCCCACCGCCTCAGCGTGGAGCAGGCCGGGCGCGGCCGGTTCCCCGGACGCCCCGTCGGGGCCAGGCCACCCCGCGGTCCAGGGTGGCGTCAGCGGTCAGGGCACCGCGAGCCACTCACCCCGCGCCGCGCCCGCCGCGCGCTTGGCTGCCCCGACTTGACAAGGGCTCACACCCCCCCGGACGGAGTGGCCGCCGGAAGCGCAGCCAACACTTCCGGCAGCGACACGGCGCCGAGGGCAGCCGCAGTGCTTGCTGGGAGTCGTAGTTGCGGGCCGCCCTCTGGAGAAAAAGGTAGGCGCGTGCTGAGTCACGTGGCGGGCCGCGAGGGCCGCCGGGATGTGTAGTCCGCAGGAGCCCAGCATGATGGCGGTCGGTGTGAGGATGGCGACCCGCAGCCGGAGCTGCGCGCGGGGCGCCGGGTCGCGTGGGGGCGGGGAGGAGGCTGTGCCGCTCCGGAGGGGAGAGGCGGCTGCAGGTAGCGCGGCACCCGGGCCGAGGCAGGGGAGAAGAGGCGGGGGAAGGGGCGTGCAGGGTCTGGAGGCTGCAGACTGAGGTCCGGGGCCGCCGCCGAGGGCTCCGAGCCACGCGGGCCGGTGCCCGGCAGCAGCGAACGAGCTCCCAGACCCACGAGTGGCCCTGCGCCCCGCCTTGCGCCGTGTTCCCAGGACACAAGGGAAGGGGTGCGCAGGGGCTGGGTTTTGGGCGCCCCCACTTCCGTACCCTTGCCCTGAGCGGGAAAGTTTTTGGTTCCCACCAGTGTGCCGTGAGATAGGCTGCTCTGTGCCAGGTCGTCTGTGGGGCAGCCCTGCCTTGTGTTTGTAGTTACTTTCCTCTTACAGACTAGCGTTGAGAACATCCCAGAAGTCCTTCCTTTCCTGTTAGAGAGAAAATAGGAAAGGGGGTGGTGCCACAGCATACAAGATTTAGCGATAGATTGCTAATTGAGAGACTGAAAGTTTAAATCCTCTCAGAGACACCTTGGAAGAAAGACCTGGCGATCTACTTCTAAAGGGGAAAAATATCAGCCATTGAAAATGCTGTGGAACACAGTTAGTCTCTGACATGCATGGGGTCGCCATGTGGGAATCGATTTGATGACAGTTAATACTGGTACTAGTGTGCCAAGTGGGATTCTAGGCAATGGGGACTGGGTATTTGTTGAGCTAGGACTTGGGTAGGATGGGCCTGAACGGGATTTCCCAGCGGTAGTGCTGGCAAGGAGACCTACCGGGACAGAAGCGTGATGGGAGGAACTGGGGCAGAGGGGACGGCAGGTAATGACAGCCAGGTTGGCAGGAGCTTGGACCAGGATAGAATGTGGACTTCATACGGAGTACACAAGGAAGCCAATGAGTTTCCAACAGGGCAGCGAGACAACCTGGTCTGGGTCTTAGAAAGTCCCATCTAATACAGTATAGCAGATTGGGGCCACCGTGATGGAGGTTGTTACTAGGGTCTCGTGCTGTGTGGAGTTTGTCCGGTGGGCAGCAGCGTAAGGAAGGCTGGCACGCCCAGGGCACGTGCTACAGAGAACGAGGTATTCCCGGTGTATAGTGAGCGACAGCAGCAACTGAACGAATGAGGGAGGGGCGAGATAGCAGGTAGGCAGCACCCACACCCGGCGCTTACCTGTGGCCCTGGCTGAGGAGACCAAGGGGCAATTTTTGCAGAAGGAAGGCAAAGCCACTGCCCTGTGAAGCGCCAGCGAAAGGCACAGAGACTGTGCGTGGCCTACGAGGCTGCAGACGGTGATGGTGAGGAAGGCAAGGGGGCTGAGCCACTCCAGGCGCCAGGCTGGGAGCCCCAGGATTGGCGGCGGCAGCTGGCGAACATCCGCACCATGAGGAGCAGGAAGGATGCGCCTGTGGACCAGCTGGGCGCCGAGCACTGCTACGACCCCAGTGCGCCCCCGAAGGTGGGCAGGGGCCCTGCCTGCCTGGTGACCCGTCTCCCAACCAGACACATGCTTCCTCTCAGGCCTCTGGCTGAGCACAGCCTGAAACCTGGAAGCCCTTGCTGGCACCCTCCCTGCAGGCACATCTGGTACCCAGAGCACTGGGTGGCATCACCTGCTTCATTTGACGCTGCCCAACAGTTTGGGGTGTCTGTGGTTCAGAGACCCGTACCTTCCTTTAATCCAGGCACAGTGCTGCACGTCAGAGCATTCACGAATGTTTGCTGAGCCGCACTGGGTCCTTAGATGAACCTGGATTCTAATCCCAGCTCTGCTGCTGGGTGACTTGGCTGTATTAGAGACAAGACTCAATTTGCTTGTCTGTAAAACAGGCGTGATGATTTTTCGCAAAACAATGACAGTAACGATAGCCAGTGGCTGCAGAGTGCTGATGGTGTGTCGAGTACGATTCTAAATACCGTGATGACTCGTTTAGGTCATGCAGTGACCCTGTGGGGCAAGGTACTGTTACTGTCCCCATGTTCACAAGGAACAAAACAGGCCCCACTGGGCAGGAGGCACATGCCCCGTACCCTGCCCAGCGTAACAAGTAGAGGTAGATGAAGGGCTGGGCAGGGCCCGCTGCCCCCCTAACCCCTGGCTGTCTCTACGCAGGTGCGGAGGTACCAGGTGCTGGTCTCGCTGATGCTGTCCAGCCAGACCAAGGACCAGGTGACGGCAGGGGCCATGCAGCGGCTGCGGGCGCGGGGCCTGACGGTAGACAGCGTCCTACAGATGGACGACAGCACACTGGGTGCACTCATCCACCCCGTAGGCTTCTGGAGGGTGAGCCCAGCCTGGGGTGATGGTGGGGGGCACAGCCTGGCCACGGCTGGGGGTGCAGGAGGCCAGAGCCCCACCCCCACCCCACTGACCAGACCACGGGGACCAGCTGGGAGCTCCTCGGCTTTTCCTGTTTGTACCCCCCTTCCTTCCTCCTCGTCCTCACCCAGCCCTTCCCTTCCGCACTGGCCGTCCACCCCATTTTCCCTTTGTTTATTCCAAGGCTCCCCGGAGTGCGTCACCCCTCCTCAGGAGCCCCGTGCCCTTTAGGAGCCCCAGCATGTCTGCTCCCCACACCCACCGGGACACGGGGTCGGGGGTGGGCGGGTCAGCTGAAGGTGGCTCAGTGGGTGGAGCTGCTTCCTCCTGGCACTGGCGTGGGCCGCCGTTCATCAGATGGGTTTTAAATAGACCTCGGGATCGGCACAGGATGGGACCCGCCCAGCGGGCCTGGCAGCTGGCGGGGGAGCCCCAGGTCCAGCCTTCCTTCCTGCAGGCCCGGGTGCTGTGGAGCCAGGCTCCTGGGGCTGCTGGCCTGGCCTGACCACTGGGCACAATGGCTGGCAGGGTGGCCCAGGTGGGTGGGAGGCAGGGAGCCAGGCCCACCCTGAGCTCTCTCACCTCCCTACTGCCCTTGGTGTGTTCCCACCTTCTGGGAGCGGTGAACAGGTGCCTCTTCACATGCCCTGGGCAGGTGACAGGTAGCTTTAGGCACCCGTGGGTCCCCCAGGCCTTGTCTGCCATGTCGGGCTACACTCCCACCCCAGGACTGACATCCCTGTTTTGCAGAGCAAGGTGAAGTACATCAAGCAGACTAGTGCCATTCTGCAGCAGTGCTACGGCGGGGACATCCCCTCCTCTGTGGCAGAGCTGGTGGCCCTGCCGGGCGTTGGGCCCAAGATGGCGCACTTGGCTATGGCCGTGGCCTGGGGCACCGTGTCGGGCATCGGTGAGTGGCACACAGCCCCGGGGAGGGAGGGAGGGGCCACTCCCGGCCTGCTGGCTGCCGTTGGGGTTCCCCTGTTCTTGGGACCCGTGACTGAGCCCAAAGGGCCAGAAAAGGGTTCCCAGCGCTGAGCTAGGCTTCCACCATCCAGACACGGTTTTAACGGACAGAGTTCATGTCTATTTAGTACCTACTGTATGTTGGGCTCGGGGGAGTTCTCAGGGACAGACTTGGGGTTTGTGCTGCAGGTGGGGAGACAGTGGGGGGCATGTGGACACTGTCGGGCCTGATCTGGGGGCCCTCCTTGAGGAGACAGCGTAGTTGCCAGCTGCAGGGTGAGGAGGAGCTGGCCAGGCATGAGGAGGAAATGCACTCCAGGCAGGAAGAACGGTGCCCGCAAAGGTGTGAGGCAGGAGGGCGGGCTGGGAGCATGAGGCAAGAGCAGACTGAGTGGAGTGGGGGGTGCAGGCTGGACAGAGGAAGGGCCCAGGCCATGCTTGAGGGGCCCCACTGGCCCTCCCTGGAATTCTTTGCCCAGGCTTGGGGGACACTTCCAGGCAGCGGAGGCCCCGTGCCCACGGGTGAAGGCAGACACTTGCACACCCAGGAGCAGGGCCCAGCCAGCCCCCCGATACTCTTCTGGGACCCCAGCCAAGTGGGTGGGAGCCCCCCAGTTCTGTGGCTCAGCAGGCCTGGGAGGCTGAGGCAGCATTGGGGTGGGGGCCACCTTCCCCACACTGCCTGGCGGCGAGGGGCAGTGAGGGGCTGAGGGCTTTTGTTGTATTCTGTTAGCTACCCAGTGATGCAGGGGGGTGGGAGGGTAGCACCCTTGGGGACTGGAGCCCAGTGGGAGGTGGGTGGAGCTCTCCCTGTACCCCTCTGCACCCGCCTACCAGATTCTCAGCAGACACTTGAGCTTATCTGGGCGCTGTCCTCATTCACCCACGTCCCAACGAGTGTTGCTTTGTGGTTGGACAGGTTTGTGGGGGCAGGGTCCTTGCCCATGCTGGGTGGAGGCATGGCCGTTAGGAGAGTTGAAATGCTACCCTGTCTGGCTGGGTTTGTGGGCTGACCTCCCACAGGGGGACCCTGGGGGTCAGCCCTGCCTCCCTGGGGGTTCCTCGTGAGGAGCCCTCATTAGGAAGCCAGAGCGCTGGAGTCCTGGAGCCCATCTTAGCTCTGCCCCTTCCCAGCTGGGTGGCCTCGAGCAAGACACCAGGCCTCTCCAGGCTTGGGCCAAAAGGCAGCAGGTGAAAGTTGCCCTCATCACTGCTGAATGGGGGAGCCCCCCCCGCCCGCCCCAGGGTGGCCCACCGAGTTCACACAGTGCAGCTCACATGATGACAGCCCTGCCCCCGCCAACTAAGCCTCCAGGGGTCTTCCCACCCCAGCCTCCTGACAGAGTTGTCACCACCATGGCACAAAGTGGGGAGCTGCCTGTGGCCCAGGGACACAACGTTAGCTTGCATGCTTCTTAGTTCCCGTGCTCCGTCAGCACCCCAGTCAGCACCCCCGGGGGCCCTCTCTGCGTAGAGAGGGGCGGGTCTTTTCTGGGCTGTTTGCAGTGGGGGAAGGGAGCCGGTGCTAGGGATTCGCTTTCTCTTTGGCAAACGTGGAGGCAGAGGTGGTGGCGGGCCGGGATTTCAGCTAGCTGGGGTTGCCAGGGCCGTGGGGAAGGAGCCCCAGTGAGTGGGCACCCAAGCCAAGCTGGCGTGGCCAGCAACAGGATCAGGGGGAGTGGTCCAGGTGGACAACAGCCACAGCTGGCCCAGCCACACTGCCTACTCTGTTCCCGATGGCTGCGGTGGAGGGTTCCAGCGGGTGGGCAGTGACCTCATCATGGCCCACTGGGCTGAGCCGCTGTCTCCCGGGCCCTGTGCCCACGGGCAGTGCCTGGCCCTGGAGGGGCCTCAGGAGATGGGGCAGAGAGCAGCAGGCAAGGGTGCCCAGACCCAGGGCTTGTTCCCAGGGAACTGAGGGCAGATGCGGGCGTTAGAGCTCTCCCTTCCTGGTGCTGATGCTGGGCCTCAGTGTCCACATCTATAAACACTGTGTGGACTTTTCATAAGGGCATAAGTGACAAAGAAGCGAGGCCCCAGCATGGGGTCTGGCACCTAGCGAGTGCGTGACCCTAGTTAGCTGTCCCTGGTGGCAGGGAGAGCCCAGAGCAGGGACACCCTACCAGTTGGCACCTCGTGGGCATGGGCCAGCAGGAGCCGAGACCTCCAGGCTCCCTGGGATGATGGCTGGACCCTAACCCAGGGTCAGGTGCTTCTGGCTCTGACCCTGCCTGGCAGCAGCAGGTCACCAGTTCCTCAAGGGAGGGAGACCGGGCAGACCGTGCAGCCACTGCCAGGCCTATGCAGCTCTGTTCCCTGTGGCAGTCCCCCAGAAGTGTGATTTCATTGCCATTGGGAGGACACGTCCCTTCCCCAGGTCAGGTGGGGGCCCCTCGTCACCCCAGACACCCCTGCCCAGCAGATATTCTGGGCACCCACAGGGGACCCTGGAGTCACGCTCGGGAAACAGGTCCTGCCCGCTAGTTCCCTGGCTTTGGTCAGTGGCCAGGAGAGAAGAACTGGGGCTGCAGGGAAACGCTGGCTGGGGCGTCCCCAGAGGACGGGCGGCAGCCTCTGCAGAGAGTAGTTGTGCCACAACCTGAAGGAAGGAGTGGCCCAGGCAGAGGGGACGGGACCACACAGGCTCGGGACGGGATGGCACAGGCTTGGGACGACACAGGCTCGGGACAGAGGTGACTGCACGGGATGAGGGGACGGGACCACACGGGCTGATGGGGACAGAGGGGACCACACGGGCTGAGGGGACGGGACCACACGGGCTGATGGGGACAGAGTGGACCGCACGGTCTGAGGGGACGGGACCACATGGGCTGATGGGGACAGAGTGGACCGCACGGGCTGATGGGGACAGAGGGGACCGCACGGGCTGATGGGGACAGAGGGGACCGCACGGGCTGAGGGGACAGGACCACATGGGCTGATGGGGATGGGACCACACGGGCTGAGGGGACGGGACCACACGGGCTGATGGGGACAGAGTGGACCGCACGGGCTGAGGGGACGGGACCACACGGGCTGATGGGGACGGGACCACACGGGCTGATGGGGACAGAGTGGACCGCACGGGCTGAGGGGACGGGACCACACGGGCTGATGGGGACGGGACCACACGGGCTGATGGGGACAGAGTGGACCGCACGGGCTGAGGGGACGGGACCACATGGGCTGATGGGGGGAGAGTGGACCGCACGGGCTGAGGGGACGGGACCACACGGGCTGATGGGGACAGAGTGGACCGCACGGGCTGAGGGGACGGGACCGCACGGGCTGAGGGGACGGGACCGCACAGGCTGAGGGGACGGGACCACACGGGCTGATGGGGACAGGGGACTGCATGGGCTGAGGGGACAGGGGATGGGACTGCACGAGCTGAGGGGACGGGGGACCACACGGGCTGAGAGGACAGAGGGGACGGGAATGGCATGGGTGGAGGGAACAGCACAGGTAGAGAGGACTGCATGGACGAAGGCTGGGAGTGGGGGCTCTGGGCTTAGCCTCCCACAGAGCAAGGTGGATATGGTGGGCAGAGCTGGCCCTTGTCACCTGCCCTGTCCATCTCCACACAGCGGTGGACACGCATGTGCACAGAATCGCCAACCGGCTCAGGTGGACCAGGAAGCAGACGAAAGCCCCGGAGCAGACCCGTGCCGCCCTGGAGGAGTGGCTGCCCAGGTGTGTCAGGGTGTGCCAAGGGCAGAAGGCAGAGGTCGGGGCCTGCCCCCTTGGTGGTGACCCCAACTCTGACCCCAACTCTGACCCCACAGGGAGTTGTGGGGTGAGATCAACACACTGCTGGTGGGCTTCGGCCAGCAAACCTGCCTGCCCCTCCACCCACGCTGTCAGACCTGCCTCAACCAGGCACTGTGTCCCGCTGCCCAGGGCCTCTGAGGGCCCAGGGGGCTGGGCCGGCAGGCGGGAATGCCGGCTTCGGCTGCGTGTATTACGTGCCTTTCCCTGAGAGCGGCCGTTTGTTTGATAAAGGCGTGGAGTGTTTATTGGGCCCTGGCTGGTTTCTGCCCCTGGGGTGTGAGGGGTGGGGGTGGCCGGCAGCATCTGTGTGTGTTTGTGCGTGTGCGTCTGTGTGCCTGCGTATGTGTGAGCTGTGTGTGCTGTGTCTGTGTACATGTGAAGTGGGTGTGTGTGTCTGTACATATGTTTGCAGGTATCTGTGTGTGTGAGCTGTGTATACGTCTGTGCTTACTTGTGTGCATCTGTGTGTGTGTGAGCTGTGTGTACGTGTCTGTGCGTGTACTTGTATGCATCTGTGTGTGTAAGCTATGTATGCATCTACGTGTGCTGGTGGGCTGCACGTCTGTGCCTGTATGAGCCATGTGTGCACAGAGGTGTGCGTGCGCAGGGGCATGCGTGTGCCGTGCTCCTGCGTGTCTGGAACGGGTTGCCCGGGAGGCTGGATCTGGACGTGACAACCTCGGCTGTGCGCTGGGGGAGGAGGGAGGAAGTTGTGAAAGCAGCTGCAGCCAGCTGCCGGGAAGTCTTCCCTGGCGCTGCCTCGCAGGCTGGCTGGGACCTGGACACGCACCCTGCCCCCTCATTCTGTGGGCCCCGCAGGCGCAGGCCCAGACACCACCCGCTCCTGAACTTGTGCACTGGAGCCCACCTTTGCCAGGAGCCCCACCCCGTGTTTACACAGCCACCTGGACTGGTGGCAAAAGGACACCAGCTGGGCGCCGCCAGCCCAAGGCCTGGCTTACGTGTCCCTGCTGGAGGTGGCAGGCCAGAGGGGGCAGGGGTAGCCCCTGGGGGTTCTGGTGGCCCAGAGGCTCCCTAGGGGAGGCAAGGACACCAGAGTGAGCCAGATGGGGCGGAGAGGTGTGGGGCCCAGGTGTGGCTAGACTCCAAACGGGCAGGGGGAGAGGGGAGGGGAGCCAAGGGGAGGAGACCTGGCGGCCGGCGGACCAGATGGACGCAGAAGAGGAGGGCCGCCCGCCCAGACGACAGCCCACCTGGGGGCCCCTAGAGTGGCCTGGTTGCTCCCACCCCCACCCCCAACCGAGGGAGGCCTCAGAAAAGACGGGCTGGGTTCAAGGCGAGGCCTGTTTATTCCCGAGGCGCGCGCATGCGCTATGGCTTACGAGGCTGACAGCGATGTCGGTCATGGGTTGGTCATTGGGTCAGGCGCAGCAAGAAGAGGCAAAGGCGCCACGGTGCCTGGCCGCGACGGGGCCTTCCTGGGCCAGGCTCCTGGGCCGGGGGCTGCGCACAGGGCGAGGGGCCTGTCCAGAGGCTGCTCTCCATGGGGCGCAGGGCCTCCATCCTTGGGCCCCTTGGAGACCCCCCCCCGGGGCAGCACAGGGGTCACCGGGCAGGGGGCTAGGGGACAGCTCCCAGAGCCCCAGCGGCCTCCCCAGAGCCCCCAGAGGACAGCTTGGGCACCCACCACGCTCTGTCTCCGGAAGAGCCTGTGATTCCCTGCTGCTGAGGAGCTGGGGAGGAAACAGTTTGCAGAGAAAGGCTTGCTTTATTGCAGTTATTTAGAGAGAGTCCCAGAGGGGGCGGGGAGGGGGCTCTCGTATTAAGTAGAAACATGTGTAGAGCTGGAGATCTTTTTTTTTTTTTCGAAAAAAAGCAAAAACAAATTCCTTTAAATCAGCAGGCGTGGGGCCGAGCAGCAAGGCCCTGGCCTCATGACACGGGCACTCGCCCGGTCCCCTCTGCTCTCCTCCCCACCCCGTCTCTGTCTGTCTGTCTCTCGGTCTCTGCCCCCCTCGCTCTCTGTCTCTCTCTGTCTCTCCGTCTCTCTCCCCCTCACTCTCTGTGTCTCCGTCTCTCCCCCCCTCGCTCTCTGTCTCTCTGTCTGTCTCTCCGTCTCTCCCCCTCTCGCTCTCTGTCTCTCACCGTCTTGCTGTAACATGGTCCCAGCACCCAGGTGGGCGGGACAGGGACCCACTGGCTGGTTTCTTAGTGGCAGCGGGACCACCATGGCTTCCAGGGTGGGGGTGCCCCTCCAGCCCACTGAGGCTTGGGGAGTGTAGGGCTGGCCCGGGAGCCCCAAGGTCCGTGTGGGAGGGAGGCCGGGCCGGCGCGCAGGCAGGGCTCAGAAGTTGCTGAAGATCTCCCGCTTCCGGTTCCAGTCCATCTGCGGTGCCCGTTTGTTGACCCGCGTGGCCCGTGCCTTCTCCTTGGCCTCAGCTGCCGTGGGGCTCAGGTGGAGGCCACTCTCCTGGAAGGGGTCTCGCTTCCAGGTGCTGCCATCCTGGGGGTGGGGTAGGCAGGGAGGCAGGGTGAGCCCTGCACGCAGAGCCCAGGCCACCTCACCTGGCCCAACCGGTGACCCTCCCCCACTGGTGGGGCTGAGGGCCCAGGAGGGCTTCCTGGAGGCGGTAGCCCTGCTGCCCAGGCTGACATCAGCACAGATGCCCATCCCCACGACCTCTGGCTCAGTGTGTGAGGACAGCAGCGGGGGGTGAACAGGACCTGCTTACCTCCGCGTCCTTGTCGGAGCCTGGCAGGTCGCTTCGAGAGGAGCACGCTGAGCCGCCATTGAGCTGGGAAACCAAGGGCAAGTGGTGGCTTCAGGGGCCCCGCCAGGGAGCTACTGGTGCACACACACACACGCATACAGGAGCTGCACGCGTGTCTCCAGGTGGGGGGCCTGGAGCCCCCACTCCCCTCAGTGCCTGGCCTGGGCAGCATCCCAGCAGCAGCAGTGGACAAGCCTGGAAGCCTCTGCCCTGGCAGCTCCCAGGCGGCACGGGTCACCCACCCCTGCAGCAAGGCAGGGCAGGCTTCCCCAGGAGGACAACCTGGGGTGACTCCTGGTTGCTGCAGCAGGGACAGCATAGCCATACCCTAGTGCCCAGTGTCAGGCTGAGGTCTCGAGGGCGTCACAGCTGGGAGTGACAGGCCAGATTTGGCATCTCATGCCCCCGCCTACTCAACCATGCCCACCTCCCAAGACAGGGCTCTCCAGGGGGACTTGTCAGGTCTGAGGACTCCAGAGGTGCCCTTGGGACCTGCTGGGGCCCACCTTCTCACCTGGGCGGGGCTGGTCCCGTTGGAGATGGGGGATGGCAGCGGACCTGCAGGGAACAGTGTGTCAGTGCCACCCAGCCCCACCCCACCCCCCACCATGCCCCAGCCCCCGCCACGCCCACCTTGCACGTGCTCCTCGGTAGGTGTGACCCGCAGCCGCTTGAAGTGTTCGTCGGTCTCGGGGTCCACCACGAGCAGCCGGGCCTCGTCCTCGCACGCCTTGATGCGGGCCACGACCTCAGCGTGACGCAGCCCCTCCACGTTCTGCCCGTTCACCTGCCCCCGGTGCAGCATCAGCACTGCCCACGGTGGCCCCGCGGCCCCCCACGCCGCCCAGCCAGCTGTGCTATCAAATATTCATAGAGCCACCACCAGCCGCAGCGGACAGGAGTGCCAGCTCAGGTTCCCCTGCGCTCCCTCCTCCCCGCGAGGACCCGGGTCTGGACACGCATGGGGGGCCTTGACACTGACACACACGGAACCACGCAGGCACAGACACAGGGACGTGGACACGGACGGGGACACACAGGCATGGACACCTACGGGGGGCCTTGACACCGAAAGACACGGGGGCCTTGGCACTGATGCGGAGACATGCAGGCCCAGATACACACACAGGGACGTGGACAGACAGGGACACGCACGCATTGTAATCTATGTGACACCTTAACACCAACACATACGGGGACGTGCAGGTAAAGACATGTATGGGGCATCCACGGGCACAGACACGGGAGCCCCCCAAAGCCACAGGTGACGGGGTACCTCGATGAGCCGGTCCTGGGCACGGAGGCCAGAGTGGGCAGCTGGTGAGCAGGGGTCCACGGAGCGGATATACTGGCCAGGCCGGGACTTGTCACTGTGCAGGTTGAACCCGTAGCCCTGGGGGCCCTTCCTCATGTGACAGAGCCGCGGACGCAGCTCCCTGGGGGGCCCATTCACATCCTGCCGGTGCCACGGGACCTGGGGTCAGCGCGGGTCCCGGTCTCCAGCTCAGGCCCCCCCACGCTCACCAGCGGGAAGCTGCTGCCCCCAAACTGTGGGCCCGGCTCTATGTCCAGAAACACCCTAGAATAGGGACTGTCCCCCTCACACAAGTTCAAGGACAAGCCCGGGCAGGGTCGTGGGGCAAATCGAAGCCAGGTGAGCGGCCGCTCGTCCAGGTCCCTGATGGCTGTCCCCCTAGGCCAGCCTATGTCCCCACATGCCCCTCCCTGGGCGCGCAGCTGGACGCGTCCTAGGCCCACAGTTCTGTTTTCTCTCCTGAGGGCCTCCGTGGGGCTGGCGGCAGTAGAGCTGTGTTTGCTTTCACATTCCAGCAGGAAATGGAGCCGCCCCCAACCCCACCAGGGCCGGGAAAGAAGGGGATGAACGGGGAGGGGGGTCTGGAGCAGAGTGAGGGCCACAGAGCTGGGCCTGCCCTCCCCGGCCTCACTTGATTTACCTCTGGCATCTTGCAGTACGGCTCTGGGCTCGGGGGCCGTGCAGGCAGGGCCAAGCCCGAGGACCCCCACCAGCCCGGTGCGGCAGTGACCGCCGTGCTGAGTGGCCAGCAGCCGCTGCGCTCAATTAAACATGGCCGGCAGCTGGGGCGGGCGAGCGGGCAGCGGGCAGCTCGGGTTTCCGGGGAGCACTCAGGGCCTCGAGGTGTGTGGAGGTGAGAGCATGCTGGGCAGGGCGTGCTCGCGGGGACCCTCCCTTCCCTCCCCTCTCACTCCACCAGGGAGCTTCCCTGAGTGTTGCTGGGGGCCCACAGGCCAGGCTGGGGCTGGGGGCCGCACTGGGGCCCCTCAAACCTCGGGGAAGGTCTCTAGGCCTCGGGCACCAGTGCCCCCGGAGCCCAGGCCACCCCTCACCTGCCCACGGCCAGCCCTGCGGGCTCCTTCCAAACCCCTCATCTGCCGGGAGCTCTTGCACCTCCTGCCAGTGGCCTGAGCCTAGGTGGACAAAGGACCTGGGCTCTGGGCCTCCCTTCCCGTCCATCTGGAAGATGCTCTTCCTGCCCAGCACAGGCCCCACCTCCAGGACCCCTACACCTAGCTAGACCCCTCCTCTGGAAGTTTCCTGCTAAGCCTGAGCCCCTTGCGTGGCTACCCATCCAGCCCCATGATAGCAGGAACTCCAGGGGGCAGGGACCAGACCACTGCTGTCAGCCCCCCAGGGGGCTCAGCTGGGAAACATGGGCTGAAATGGGGGGCACAAGACCCCCAAGATGTGTGGGCCCCGATGCATTGACTTGGCCCCTCTCCCAGATATACCATGAGGTACAGGTTGCAGCTTTGAGGCAGGGACCGACACCCCACCATGGAGATGCCTCTCGAGTATACACCATGGAGGCAGTGCTCGTGAAGGTGGCTGGGGAGGGCCGTCCTCAAGGGAGAGAGGAAGGACAGACAGGAGTCAGGAGTGGAGGCTGGAAGCATGGCGAAACAGGGCCTGGCACACGGACACAAGCCCAGGATGCAAAAGCATATCATGTGGCCACAGTAACACGGACATCAGAACACAGCACTCAAACACGCCACACGGACAGTCATGCACGCCACCCGTGGGCCACCCCCCAGCCTCTTCCCGTGCCCTTGGCCCTGGCCTCCAGGGCTGAGGCCCCCAAATAGGAAACAGGATTCGGGGGGGGGGGTCATCCGGGGCCACGAGGCCACTGCCCATCAGTGCTATGACAAGTCCTGCAGTGGACTACAGGGTCCCTGGGGCCACGTAGTCAGGCTCTTGAGGCCATGCTGGCCACCCTGCTGCCTCAGCCCACCTCAGCATACAAGCCAGGAAATTTCTCCTGAAGTCTAGCCTAAATTCCTCCCATTATGAGCAGATTCAAGGGCACCAAACTTGGCCCTAGACCCTCAAGTGGAGGGCTGCAGTGGGGCGGGGGGTGGGGTGCCGGCTGCGTGGCGTCGGGGCAGGGTGGGCAGGTAGGCCCAGCAAGCGGTGGCAGGCGGGTGGCGGGAGGGGGCCACAGGGGGGGCGGGTGCATTGCTGACATTCCTTTCTGGTCCCTGGCTCAGCTCACTTCCTGCAGCCCGCGGCCAGGCCCTCAGCTCCCACGGCTCCTAGCCGCCAGCCCCAGAGTTGGGCGAGCCTGGCCTCCCAGCCAGGCCTGCGATCGGACAAAGAAGCTGGTATGGGGGTGCCTAGGAGCCAGGCTGGGCGCCCTCAGAGGGTGACGCACTGGCCCGGCAGAGAAAGGGCCCATTGTTGCTCAAGGTTCAGCTGGCTTGCACCAGGGTCCCCAGAGTCCCCTCTCCCTACCCTGAGGGCTTCTGGGTCTGGCCCACCCCGCCCCACCCGTCCTGACCTGCATGAGCCCCCAAGGCGGGCTCCGCGGAGGGGCTCCTGAGGCCGGGGCGGGAGGTATGGTGGCCCTGGAGCGAGCCATGGCAGCGACACACGAGTGGCAGTGGGCGTCCTGCTAGGGTGGCTTGAGCTCTCCGGCCAGCCCAGACTGCCACCCGCTTATCTACCTCTCACTGTATCCCAGGGTCCCTGGGGATGGGTGGGGGCCTGGGGGCTGAGTCACCTTGGGGAGCAGGGTGGTGACAGAGCCCCCCGCCCCTCTCAGGCTCCAGCCCGGCGCCCCCCGCCCAGCTGGGTTTCCGCCCCAAGAAAGGAAGGAAGGAAGCCGCTGGAGGCCCAGCCCTGCTCCCAGGACCCAGGGCTGGGGGACAGGGAGGCCAGGGAGGGGACCCTCAGGGGACAGAAGACCATCCGCTGCAGCCTCGGGAAGCCCCGTGTTCGGCACGCTGGGGGGCCCGGGCTGTGCGGGCCAGGTGGGGGCAGGGCAGCGGGGACCCCAGCCGCCAGCTCACCCCAGGCCCACCAGGGCAGGGAGAGGGGACTCTGGGGACCCTGTACCACACATGTCCCAGACGACTGTCATGCCACACTAACTCTCAGCCCCCAGGGCCTCCAGAACGCAGGCGGGGAGATGGGCTGGGGTAGGGGGTGGGGCCCCGTGTCAGGCACCACCCATGCATGGCCCTGGCACCAATACCTGCCCCATCTCTGTTTTGGGGGCTGTTCCCTGTTGTCACCATCAGCATCAGCTGCAATGCAGCTGCAGCCACCCCCGGCCCGCCCGGCTGAGTCACCAATGACGGACGGGGCTGGCCTCCTCCATGTCCTCCAGGCCCTACCTCCCCCAGCCCAGCCCCAGGGACAGGAGGAAACCGAGGCTCAGGGAGGGCAAGAGGGGCCACAGGGAACCCAAGGACGGCCCCTCCATCACTCACCTAAGCAAAACCACACACACGGCTCTGACTCTCCTGCCACACTAGACGGCCCCGTTAGCACACACGCCTTGGGAAGCACTGCCCTCTGGGCTCCCTGGCAGCCAGGGCTGCACCAGCCTGAGGGGCGGCATCTGAACCCGACTGTAGGAGTGAGATGGGTCCCTCCACTCCAGTGCCGCGAGCTCAGGTCCGGGTGGGCCGGGACGGAGGAGGCCCTGGCCCTCGGGTGCCGCCGCGACAGGAGGGTCCCCGCTCCCAGGCAGCCCCATCCAGGGGCACCCCTCCACCTGCCAGTCGCGCCTTCCTTTGTTCCTCTATACACCCAGAGGAAGCCCCCTCCTGTGCTTCCTGCAGCCCCCAGAGCCTGAAATAGCAGGGAGGGGGAGACCCCACCCAAGGACAAGGTGCTGGGCCACTCCACCCTGCAGATAAGGTCTCAGGGTGGATTTTTCCACAGGAAGGTGAACCAGCCATTTGTCTAAATCAATGGACAAAACGTCTTGAGGGGGGAGTTTCCTCTGTGAGGGGGAGGGAGGCGCCAACCCTCAGCCGGGGGAGGGACACTGGGACCAGCCTGCTTCCTACCATCCCAGCCCCGCCGCCCTGGGGCTCCCTCTGAGATCCCGAATCTGACCCTACCGCTCCTACTCACGACAAAGTCTGGGCTCCTGGGCTGACACCCGGCCCTGACCACCCTCCCACCCTCCAGCTCGGAATCTCATCCCAAGTGCTCCGTGCCCAGGCCGGCCACGCACGGGAACGCCGTTTCCCTCCGAGCCAGGCCCCCTAGGCCCAGCTCGAGGGCACAGCAGTAAAGGCCTCCCCCGCCACCCATCATCATGGCAGGGTGGGGGGCAGCATTTTAAGAAAGACAGGACATCAAGGTCCCTTCTGCGCCCAGCAGACTCCAGATCCCCTGGAACTTCAGATGGGACACCTCCACCACCCCAAGGCCTGTTTTATCAAAGTGGTATCTGGGGAACCCTTGTGCCTGAATCACCTAAAGGAGTCTGTTTAAAATGGGGGGGACCATGAGAGATGATGACATCTGAGCTTCCAGGTGGACAGAAGGACAGCCTCAGTGCTTCCTCCTGGCTGCCAGGTGCACGCCCCGGTGGGTGCATGCCCAGGTGGGTGCACGCCCAGGTGGGCCACCTCCCAGGTCTCGAACACCCCCTTATTCTTTTCCAGGTCTCCTGGCCTAGAGGGGGGCAGGGAGAAGGGGAATGCTACCCTGGAGGGGCCCCAAGAAACAGCAGGTGGGAGCGCCAGGCCCCCCCAACCTGTCCAGCCCCCGACCTTTTATCTAGAAAGTGGGGGTAGGCTCACCCTAGAAGCTTCCTGCCAGGCCCCACCAGGCCCCAGCACATGGGGGGCAGCAAGGTTGCACGGGACAGAGGGAGCCAGTGCACATGCAGCTGACCTGACCCCAACCCCTGACCCTAGTCACCCCTGCACCTCAGCCCCAGCCTCTGCAGGTCCCCGCACTGAGCCCCCAGCTTGGAATGCCTCCTCAGCTCCCCCCAACCACAGCACTGCCCGGGGGCATGGGTCCAGGCCCCTCCAAGGCCTTCACAGCACATGAAGACTTCACAGACACAGGGACAGAGCCACGGACAAACAGACAGACAGACACTCGTCACAGGCACAGAGCTGGGCACACTCAGTCCTGGAACGTCCCAGCAACTCTTCCCAGGGTTTCTGGCCACGAGGCTGGCAGGGGGTGGGCGGTGTCAGTGACCCCTCCCTGGGCCAGGTGGCTCTGAGTGAGTGAACACAGGGGGACGGGGGGACAGTGCCACGGGGGCCAGCTTAGAACACAGGCAGAGGGCAGACAGTGGGCCTGAGTGGCCGGGATGGAGGTCACCAGAGGAAGAGGAGGGGCCCCTAGAGGGTGAAGAGACCCGAGAGAAGACGTCAGGGGTGACCAGAGGCAGAGGGGCAGACAAGAGGCCGAGATGGACCCCGCGGGCCAAGCCCACCATACCTTCCCGCCAGCCTCGGAGCCCAGACTGCCCCCCGCGGCTGCCCAGTCCTGCTTTGGCTCCCAGGGGTCGTGGATGGGTGGCAGCCCCTGCTGGGCCATCTCTTCCGTGCAGGTGAGCTGCCGCCGGCGCAGCTCCTCGTCCGTCTCCTTGTCCACCACCAGCAGCCGCGTCTGTCCCTCCACAGCCTTGATCCTCTGCACTACCTGGGACGGGCAGGTGGGGGGTCAGCAGCCGACACCCCAGGACGGCACGTGGACAGCGGCACCACCCAGGGCTGGCCAGGCCAGCGGGCAGGCGCCGGCCAGCGGCGGTGGGCGGCTGGACCGAGAGGCCCGCGGCCCCGCCCCCCCCCCCCAGTTATAGCAGTGCCCTCCCTCCTTCTCCCAGGGCTGCCAGCACCTCGGCCCAGGCTGCAAGGGCTGCGGGGTGCTGGCAGGAGCGGACAGTCTGTCTGGGAGGGAGAGACGGTGCACGTCTGCACGTGTGTGCATGTGCGCGTGTGTGTGTACACACACGTGCATCCATCTGTCTTGGGGTCTGTCTCATAGTCTGGGTAGGTGAGAGAAAGAGGTGTCTCCTGGACCCCAGTCTGTGTGCATCTGCGCCCGTTTCTGTCCTTCCCGGCAGTGGAGGGTGGAGTTTAAGTCCCTGCCTGCCTCTGGGTCTCCGTTCACCTCCAGACCATGAACTTGGATCCATTCTTGAAGGCTGCAGAGCGGTGACAAGGTCCCCACTCCCAGCTGGGTGGGGCTCAGACACCCCACACGTCCTGGTCAGAGGGGCTCAGCCCCAGCAGGTGGAGGCAGGGAGGGGCAGATCCACCTGTGGGCCAGGTGTGGCGTCGCGGCTGCCTGTGAGCCTGTGTGCGTGCCTGTGTACGCGCCTGGGGCGTGTGGGCAGCAGGGGGAAGAAGCAGTGTCCACTCCAAAACGGGGCAGCAACTGCACTCCGACCTCACGTCCTGGGGGGAGCGGGGAGGGCCTCTCCCCCAGCTGTTGGGCAGTGTTGTCAACAGATAGGAGGGTCTGACCCAGCCCCATCTTCTCCTTCCTCTCTCCCCAGGATCTAGAGAACTGCTGGTACCCCTGGACCCACCCCCGTGTGACCCCGGTGAGTCGCTCCACACTTTGGAGCATCAGTCTCCCCGTCTGTAAAATGGGAACCATCACGACACCTACCCTGCTCTTGCACCTCCTAGGGCAGTTGGGAGGGTCCCTCATTCTGTGGGGGATGTTATTAGAGACTAGCACCCCAGGAGACCTGTGATAAGCTGGCGTTCTTGGGGCCGGGGTGGCGGCGGCTGCTAACCAGAGGCCAACCACCAGCTGTTAGCCCCCCTCCGCCCCGCAGCTTGTCAGACCAAACCCTCCGGCCTCTGACCCCAGCCTCCTTCAGCAAACAGCCTTATCGACTTGCCACTCCGGCGAAAGTCAGGACAGCAGACACATGGACAGGAAAGGGCCCTCAGGTAGAAGCAGTTCAGCTCCTGACCCAGCCCAGAACCCACTTGCTTGTCTCCAGGCCCTGGGGCTGGCCATGGGGACAGGTCATGGACTCGCAGGGACACAGAGGACCTTGAGTGGGGGTGGGGTGGCTGAACACAGCCAGCGTCTGAGGTGGGTGCCCGGGGAAGAGGGAGGCAGGCGCCCCCCAGGGACGGGAATCTGTGGAGAAGAGGCCCTACCCTCCCATGGCACCTGCAGCTGTAGGGGCAGGGTGCGGCCAGTGTCCCCCGCGGGCCAGGCAGCTCTGCGGAGGGGGCAGTGTCTCGGGACCTAAGGAATGTGCTGCTGCTGGGACTCAGACACACCTGCCAGGACACACGGGAACACTGTCTGCAGACACGCCAACAGGCACACGCAGCCGGGAGTGTGGACACAGCCCAGACACGTACACGTACCAGGAGGGTACACACCCAGCCCGGCTCACACACACACACAGATGTAGACTTGTACACACACATGCACACAGACACACCCAGCCCGGCTCACACACACACACAGATGTAGACTTGTACACACACATGCACAGACACACCCAGCCCAGCTCACACACACACACAGATGTAGACTTGTACACACACATGCACAGACACACACAGCCCAGCTCACACACACACAGATGTAGACTTGTACACACACATGCACACAGACACACACAGCCCAGCTCACACACACTCCTAAATGTAGATGTAGACTTACATGCACACATGCACACAGACCCACACACAGCAGAGCTCACACACCAGTCCAGATGTAGGCTTGTATGCACAGACACACACAGCTCAGTTCATACACACACAGCCCAGCTCACACACACCCAGATGTAAAATTGTGTGCACATGTGCACACACACACATCTCAGCTCACACATCACCCCAGATGTAGGCTTGTATGCACAGACACACACAGCCCAGTTTACACACACAGACATACAAACATATGCACACACACACGCTCGCATGCATGCACACACATATCTAGCTTAGCTCACACACACATACATACAGCCCAGCTCACACGCACCCCTAGATGTAGACTTGTATGCACACATGCACACAGACACACACACAGTACAGCTCACACACCAGTCCAGATATAGGCTTGTACGCACACACACAGCCCAGTTCACACACACACACACACGTACACACATATGCTGGCACGCACACACACGTATCCAGCCCAGCTTACACACACACACACAGCCCAGCTCACACACACCCAGATGTAAAATTGTATGCACATATGCACGCACACACATCCCAGCCCACACATCACCCCAGATGTGGGCTTGTATGCACACAGATGTGCACACAGCCCAGTTTACACACACATACAAACACTTATGCACACACACACGTTCGCATGCATGCACACACATATCCAGCCCAGCTCACACACACATATACACGGCCCAGCTCACACGCACCCCCAGATGTAGACTTGTATGCACACAAGCACACACACAGCCCAGCTCACACACCAGCCTGCACGTAGGCTTGTACGCACACAGACACACTGCCCAGTTCACATATACAGACTCGTACACACACACTCGCACACGCACACACATATCCAGCCCAGCTCACACACACACCCAGATGTAGACTTGTACGCGCACACACATACACACAGCCCAGTTCACACATACACGCACATGTACATATCCAGCCCAGCTGACACACATACACACACACAAAGATCCCAGCTCACACACATCCCCAAGTGTGCAGAAGGCACACACACATACACAGAGCTGGGCACACATACCCAGGAGTGCATACCTGCACACGTGCACACACACACAGCCCAGCATGCACACAGATACACACAGACACAATGATACAGGCACACACAAGTGTGTTCACATACGCGCTGGCCCTTACTGTGACCCCCCCCAGGTACACACACAGGCAGATGTGTGCACACACGGGTGATCCCCAGAGGGGCCAGCACACTCACACACACACCCAGCCGTGTATACACACATACTAGAGCACCCAGGGTCTCCACTTTCGGGCACTCGCAGACCCCCGCAAGGCGCACCACCCCTGCATCTTGGGCCCTGAGGCCAAAACGAATCTCCAGAGCAGCCGAGCCGCAGTGCGGGCCCCTCCCTGCCAGGATGTCCCCCCTCCCGCGCGGTGCAGGACCAGCTTCCTGGGGGGGGGGAGCTGGGAAAGAGGCGGGCGCTGCCTCCGTGGCGCGTCCCCATATCCCCCCCATGGCCCCGCAGGCCCGCGCGACCCCCTCAGGGCCCCAAGCCCGGGCCGCGCGGAGGACAGGGGCGCGCCCGGAAGGGGGCCCGGCCAGGGGCACCCACCTGGTGGTGCGTCTCGCCCTCCACGTTGACGCCGTTGACCTCGACCAGGCGGTCCCCGGCGCGGAGCGCGGCCGCCTCGGCTGGGGAGCCGGGCTCCACGCGCCGCACGAACTGCCCACGGCGGCCCTTCTCGCCATGCAGGTGGAAGCCGTAGCCCTGCTCGCCGCGTACCAGGCGGCACAGGCGCGGCCGCAGCGGCGCGAGCCCGGCCATGGCAGCGGGGACACGAGGACGCGGGGCTTGGCTCACCGCCCGCCGCCC